TGGCGAGGAGGGGGGCAAGGGAGAGAGAAGGCAGGGGGGAAATCGAAGTGTAAAAAAAGAAGTAGGAGGAGAAGACTTGGTGAGGAGCGCGCTATGGAAGCCATGTTCATCCTTCGGGACTCAGAGCTTCGCCAATCAGATTCATCGCGCAATAGGCAGATCCTATCGTACCACGCGTCTGATTGGTGGGCGAGAGTAATCGAAGGATCGACCGGGCTTCCGATTCACGTTCGGAAAGCGAAAGGAAAAAGGGCGCGAGAAGTAGCGCAAGACGGGTCCAAGATTCAAATGATTAAGAACGGGGAAATGGGCGCGCAATCGATCAGAGCGGGAGAGAGAGAGTGAATACAGTTACGAGAAGGGAGGATGAGAAGGAAGGGGGGGGGAGGAGAGGAGGAAAGAGCGCGGGAGAGAACGATGCGGGAAACAGAGCGGGGGGGGGGGGGTGAAGGGAAGAAAGCTTCGTATGTGTGGTGCCGTCAACAAGAAGAAAAAGAAAAAGGCACCGAAACAGTTACAGCTTGGCTATGTCCTAAACCAATTCAAAATTGAAATCACCATATCCGCGCGTGAAAAGGACGACGCGAGAAAAGAAAGTCCTACGTCTATTCGTATCCTCACAAGATTCCGAGAGTTTTCTTCCACGCAACCGGGAACATTCACACACAAAAAGGACATGTCAAAGTTCCGCTTATCCCGGAATTCCCAACTGCGGGGTCCAATTCCCAGTGCACTCACTAAGGCGCGCGTAGATTCCTATGCATTTCCTGAATTGCAAAGAGAAAAGGCAGAACCGAAGAATCACAAAAAGCTTCCGGAAGATGGGGGCCCAAAACGCGGCGCCCGAAATCAAGAAAACAAACGGGGTGCTTGCAGCATCGGTATGATAGAGGAAAAATTCAAACCAAAGGGGTACGAAAGATAGCACGGGTTTGGGAAGTAGTACGTCACATATGTGACGCGCAGGGGGTTCCAAAATTGTGTGATCTCCGGATTGCATGAAAGCTCGAAAGAAAAATGGAAGGAGACAAAGAAGCAGAAAGAAGTACAAGGAACGACAATTGAGCCGTGGATGAGATGGCGGCAACATCCGTGGCAAGATCTCTGCAGCCCTGTTATATGCAATCCCCCGCGTCCTTCGAGCCTTGGAGATCGTCCAGGTGGCACCATCATGGTCCATCAGATCTCTGTGTATTCTGCACCCCTGTCTCGTTGCGACCCGTCGAATCAGAGCGTAGGTTGACGTCATCCCCCATGGCGTGATCTTCGCGAAGCTTACTGATTCGTGCTGTCTTCCCCTGTTGATTGGGTGAAGGGAGGGGGCGGGATAATCGGGCGATTGGGATTTATTGCCTTGTTGGAATGAGCCAGTAAAGGCGGTACATGGAGGGAAGTCCGCAGGGACGACGGGGAGGGAGTGGGGGTAGGTAGCGATTAAAGCCTTCTACTGTCACCGGAAGTTCCTCATAGAGAATGATCCGATGAAAACGAGGGAAGCAATCGCTGCTATGGGGGAGAGAGGCGAGGTAGTCGCGGTAGAGAGAGGAGAGGGTGCGGAAGAGCGCTGCGCGAAAGAAATCGTAGTGGTGACAGGCGGGGATCGTTCCCGTGGCTACGCAGTAGACTTCTACTACGTTGCACTGCTCCCACACAGCGCTGGACAACAGGATATGCAGACAGAACGTGGGGGCAGCGGGCTGAAGGGAGCGGTGGGGGTAGACGGTAGCGATTAGGCGCGTAGAGTAGAAATCACGAAAGAGATGGGGATGGAAGGGGTGACGGGGGAATGTGACGGGGGTATGGATCTGCTCCAGGGTGAGGTAATCAAGGGGACGGCGGGATAATGTCCGAGGTCGAAGGCCTATCCCCCGCATCGGTACGTGGACGAACTGGGGGACGGGTGGGGCTGGAGGGGGAGGAGGATCGGCTTCGTCTCCGCCGTGAGGTGCTTGGGGTGGCGGCTGCCGGGTTGCCATCTTCCGGCTTCGGCGGCTCCGGATCCCTGGTCGGATCGTCACCGATGCGCAGGCTTGCTCCACTAGTGAACTCCAGCTGGCGTTTCCCGGTGGCAATTTCTTCTCGCTTGCGTGCTGCCCCCGGATCTTCCGCCTCCGTGCCAATACGCGTCGCTTCCTCCGGCAAGGCTTCCCACTCAGAGCCGGTTTCTTCTTCCTCTTCTTCTTCTTCTTCGCTCTGTTCGCCCTCGCTATACTCGCTATAGCTTCCTTCTTCCGATGTTTCCTCATCGTTGTCACTTTCCTCTTCTTCTATCACCACCTCCTCCGCCTTCGGATAGAAAGCGTGGTTGATGATGCCGTATGGCTTCAGATACACCTGCTGCGACGGTAGAGAGTCTTCGTCCCCAGGCTCTTCCAAGCATGCACTCCACTGAAGATACGGATCCAACGTTCGTGGGAGTACGTGCGGAGCGGGGTTGTCGTCGCTTTGCGAGACGATGTCAGGAGAGAGGCCGTCTGCCAGTTGCACGATCGGCGCGATGAGTTCTTGAGCGATTAGCTGGTGATGTCCCGGCCGCACCGATCCGAAGAGAAATCCGAGGAGATCACCCTCCACGTTAGTCCTCCAAGCTTGTATGATGAGCAATTCCAGATTTTCGAGCCACGCGGGATGTTCGCTGCTCCGCGTCCACGTCACCTGTACTCAAGCCAAACACATGGACAGTTCGACAAAGGTCTCGCACCAAAGTCGCCAATGCCCGGGATTAAGAAGCGGGACGGAAAGGGGTTCGATCGAGAGGGAAAGATGAGGATGAAGATCGGACTGCCAGAAGGTAGGGAAAAGAGAGGGGAGACCGAAGATGGAGAGAGGAGCGAGGGGGGCGGCGTGGTTCATCGAGGGCGGGGGAAAGCAACGAGGGTGGGGATCGCGACCGCTGGCTCGCGCGGAGAGAGACGGACCCCGTTGAGATCAGGTGCAAATGTCGGGATGAGATTGTGCCCTGGTCGGGCAAGACCGTGCCGCCACACGTTGGACACTTGCTCCGTCCACTCTCGCAGCGAGGTCAAGATCGCGATGTCGAGCGCATCGGCCCCCGCGTGAACGAGGGCCCTCCCGGCCATGTCACGCAGGAGATAACCAAAATAAATTCAGAGGCAACATAGGACGATGCAAAAATAATCCCACGAGCCGCCAAGACGGTGCGCGGTCGCATCGTCCTTCACCGCTCTGGCCAGGTGCGCCAACAATACATCTCGCGGTCCCCTACGACAGGATAGGTTCCCGCGGGGCATAAGCTTGCTTCCCTAAGGGGTTGTCACCACCCTTAGGGGCGTATCCCTACTGAGCTACTGACCCACGTGCGAAAACTTTTAGATGCAGTTGCAGAGGTAGGTCAGCCGAGGGCGTTTGCTCGTTCGTCGTAGTATAGATACGTTGGTTAACGCCAAGTGGACCCGAACGTCGTTCATTCCTTAGGGCGCTGATCTCCTAAGTACGAAGACGACGCCTGTCGACCAGGACTGTCTCAACCAAGCGTGAAACCCAACATTAATCCTAGTCCCTTAGACACACAATCAAAAGACGTTATAACAAACACCCATAGTTTCACCAAAAGGAGTCGACCGTAGTCGACAGGACTATGATAACTGAAAGAATCAGAATCATCATATGGTATGTCCAACAATACGATATCAAAAACAATCCGACCACCCCGGGTCGAATTCCACAAAAACTATCATACAATTGCCAACGAGAAGTTGACTATCGATTATAACATTGATGCAACCGACAAGGTGGTCGACCTGCCTTAGTTTTGACTTGATGAGACGCGCTGCCAAAGTTATTCATTCCAACCAAAGCCGACCTATGATCAAGCACGCCTATGCCTGTCTCCATACATTCTCAATCTTCCTAGATGACAGGTTGCTTCGCGGATGATTCTTGATCAGGGGCATTGCTTGACGTGTTGCATGCCTCTTCCTCTAGGAAGTGGTCTGTGGATACTCCTTCCCCTCGCCTGAGCCCGAAGACCCAGATCTCAGAGGTTGGGCCATCACCACCGAGTCGGCAAAGTACCACCCCCGACAAGTCGGGTCCACTCCAAGTCGATAACAGGGCCGGCTCCGAAAGCATACGAACCCCCGCCTTGGATGCGTCCTAGAGAAAAAGAATGTGTTCACTGCAAATTACGTTCAATTATTCTCATCCGTTCTAGGTTACGTAAAGACTTTAAATGAAATAGAGAATGAAAATCACTTTGACAGGTATAGATATAGAAGGTCATTTCGGATAAAATGTGTCAATCCTGGGAAAATGCTAAGCCCAATTGACTGCTTTTTTTTTATATTCGCAAGTTTTCTCTCATAGCACCCGTTGAAACTCCTCATTTCATAATTCAAATACTTTTGTCATGCAGGCAGGTGAAGGATAGAAACATGACAATCCTTTTCTCCATCCCAAATAGGCAAGGTCAATCTTCATAGCAAGCATCCTCCTACCTACCTGCACAACATGCAAAGAAACCAAGTTCAAATGAAAACAGTACAATCCCATACTCAAGTCAGATTTTCCCATTCACATGCATGACACAACTTCCTCTGCCTTTTCTTTTGAACATTCAAAACGAATAGGGTCAAGCAAAGTGTGGGTTCACACAGGTGTGAAGGAAAATCTGAGTCATCCAACTGACCTTGAGTGAAGTTTGATCCGGCTCACTCAAGAAGCCGAGTAGTATTCCAATCAAAGTTGAGCAGACGATCGTCGTTAAAGCTAGAAATATACAGCTCACAACTCCACAACTCGTGGTCGTTCCACTGAATGACGACCACCTTACTCTCCAAGTGCTCGTATGAGCGAAAGTCACCTCTACTGAAAGGCTCAAGTGAGATAACCCTCCAGGAGGGTGTTCCCAACAATGAGTCTCATGTAGTCCCAACAGTCCAAACTGTACTTCCCTTACCAAGGATACTCTCAACCAATCACAAGTCCACGTCTTCTCCAGGTACCACGTACACTCACAATAACCACCACAATATGTCGGCTCGATCTTCAAAATCAGTCCCACCAGGTCCCAAAATGGTCCCAGATGGTCCTACTCTCAAATCCCGCTTGCGCTGTGCGCCGCCAAAAAATTAAAGGTGGCCCTGGTTGAATCTGCATGTGCCGCGAGCCTCCCAAAAATAAGGATATCCTTCTGGCGCAACCGCAAGCGCTGCACTCACTCCGCGTCCTCCTCATGTCACTGGCCCACACATCACTGTCACGCAATTCCAACCACGCACCAACGTCAGTTCAACCTCTAGGTCACATTGGGATCCACTATGACCACCGCACACTACAAAAAAATGATGGCGGAATTACCGCTCGCTGCGCCGTCAAACTAGTACCACACCGTTGTGCGGCACCATAGTCTAGTAACACACCAAACAAAACGGCTCCACCCCGCTGCAAGGCCCGGCCGCACTGCCGCTGTTGTCATGCCTCTAAATGGACAATACTTCCCCTTGACAATATCGTTGCCGCCGTACCAAAACAAACGGCAACACTTCCTCACCAATGCCGTTAAAATCAATGCTGCCGCCACAAAAATCAGGCAGCGCTTCCGTACCACCTCCGTAAACCCAATGCCATTGCCCCAAAATCCGGCAGCGCTTCCGCGCCACCGCTGTTAGAACCTGTGCAGCCGCCGCAAAATTTCGACAGCGCTTCCGCGCTACGGGCAAAAATATCCTGCCGCCGCCGTGCAAAACGGGCAGGGCCTCCCCTGCACCGCTTGCCGAAGACCCCTGCCGCGAACAGCAACACCTCCTGCTGACACCCGGCAGCACGGCAGCTATGGCAGCCCTCCTCTTCTCACCTCGCTGAGTTGGCGGCTATGGCTGTGTTTCACAGCTATGGCCACCTCCAACAACCCTCCTCCAACCTGCAGACCTCCACTACTATCAGCACTTCCTCCTCTCCAGCAGCACCATCCCACAGTAGCAGCCAGCTAGCATTCACTCAGGTGAATGGGCCAGCGGCACTGCCACAAGTGTGAGGCTGCTGGGTGGAGTGCTGACTTTTATATTCAGCTGAAGGCAAGTGGGCAGCTGCTTTGTCCACTGCCTAGCAAAATTCGTCAGGGCTCCTGGCCCTTGATCTAAATCGATGGCCAGGAGCTTTGAGCCTTGGTTTTCCCCTTGGGGAGCCAAGGTCATCACTTCCCATAAGCACTCAGCCATTTCAGGACTGCCTGTTCAACTGAACAGGCACTGTCCCATCAGCCCCTAGAACCTTCTAGGGGCCGCACTTGTTCTACGGTCGTGGCCACGTTCGCGGCCACTACACTTTTGTCCCCTTTTCCTCACTCCTTTTTTTTTCTTTTCTTTTTATCCCCTGGTTTGCCTTGTGAGAACCAGCCCGTTGCTTAGCAGCAAACGGGCGGGGTCATTTCACAGAGTCAAGCTAGAGTCAAGCTCACAGGGTCTTCATTTCCTTGTTGCCCCCAACGTGCGTCCGCACCTGGGCGCCAACAGCGCCAGGTTCAGGCGCGCCGTTGGTTGCCGCAGCCCGCTCTTGAAACTGAATGGGCACACCCCAACTACACCAGGGGAACTTAATCAGAAGAATTAAAAAACAAAAATAAATAGAAAAAAGAACAAAGAAAAGAAAGAAGGAAAAAACCTACCTGTTCGTGGTCACTTGCAACCACCACCAGGTAAGTCGTTTCTCCCCTCTCTCTCTCTCTCTCTCTCTCTCTCTCTCTCTCTCTCTCTCTCTCTCTCTCTCTCACGCAGTGGTCGCAACCACTCGTCGCGAAATGACCGGCCCCTAAAGCATGTGGAGAGATCCCTTGTGGCGAATAGTAGTCGCCTTTTCTATAAGCAGCGTCTTGATATGGTCGATCCATCATTAGTTGTTTGCTTCCTTGCTTTTCTCGCTGCTGCTCATGACATATGCCCTTCTGAATTTCGTTCATTACTCCTTTGACTTCTGAGAGCATTGAAATAAGGATTGAATCCCCCTTACTTTTATTATCCTGGCATTCTCCCTCAGATTGTAGCAAGCGAAGTTGCAAACGAAGGACTTGATCAAAGTTCCCATTCCTCAAATTTGATCGGATCCTTGCCCAATCCGACTTGACGTTTACCCAACGGATAAACTCCTGCTGCTCTGCCTCAGAAAAATTTGCGAGGAAGGTAAGACATTTCTGTTTATCCGTTAAACCTTGTATCCGACGAGCGGTCCTTTCATAATCAAGAAGAAACTTATCTTCTACTACGTACACATCCCGTTTGATATTCTTCAAATCCTCTAATGTCGTCAATTTATCCCCAAGCAAAAACTTCTCTAACATCGCATCTCGAAAATCCGCCCATGTTGATGCTTCAGTTATTTTCTGGATTACATCCCCAAGATCTTTTTCAACATATATCAGAACCATTCGTAACATTTTATGATCATCCTTGTTATTAATGGATGCAAGTTGCTCAAATTTATCCAGAAATATGGAAACAAAGTTGCAATCGAAAAGAGGGATTTCTATTTTTGGCAAACTTTCTCTTGTCGTATCTCTCTGCTCTAGGAGATGGACGATCATTTGAAGATTCGATATATCTTTATCTTGATGACCACCTTCGCTTCCACTTGCTGCTTCCATTTCTCCTGGCCCTAACAGAAACCAGGTAGAACGTCAGTCTAACTCTATAATAGTTTATATAATATAATTTGATTCCTTAATCCTACTCCATATTCGCTCAACTATTACATCTCTAGTACTTCTCTTATCCCCTTCAACCTGGATGATCGGAGAGTTCGTCCAGTCAAACCAGATCCCCTCCTCGTTTCTATTAACAATACCTTTTTCTGCATCCAATTGAAAACGTCTGCAAAATTTTATACTATGACCACTTAGAGCACAATATATACACTTCAAAGACTTATAGTAAGCTAAAGTTTGTCTCCTCCTTTCTTTCTTACTTAATTGTTTGCCTTGTATACAAGTAGGCGACTTAATGCCCAAAGCGGTCGGAACACCTTCCCGAGATCCACATGGTCTGACGCTTTCAATTTTCCTGTCTCGACGACTGGTTCCTTGACCCCCTTGAACCAAGTTACGTGCAACATTTTCAGCCTTAGTAAGCTTATGATGATGTTTCAACTGATTACTCTCGCTACCGTCATCACTACTGAAATCTTCCTGCTTTCTCTTCCCTTTTCTATCTCGGGCTCCGGGTGACTCAGAAAACTTAGCAATCATTAGTCTCTCGAAATTGTTCCATTTTTTTACTTCAGAGACCAACTTTGCTACGTCATCACGCAAATCTACATGTGTCTATGACATCACCCTTTGCAACATTGTTTGCTCGCTCCAATCATGAGTGGCGGAAAGTTCAGGACATTATCTCCATAAAAAATCGGAACATTGATCTTTGGAGCAATAGTTGCTCTTTCGATCTTCTCCCCAAGCGTTTCAATGAACTTCCCCATCTTGTCCCAAAGATAGTCATTCAGCCTGCTACCTTCCGCCATCTTGCTATAAGAAGATTAACCTGCAAGCGATAAGGCATAAAGGTAAGAAGCCAGAATGATTCGTAGGGTCTATCAAATATCAATCATGCCTGTTTTCGAAAAACAAATATCAAAATAAAATAGCAAAACACCCGAGTGTCGTTCCGCCAGGGACAACAGTAGTTTGCCGTTATCCCCGGCAACGGCGCCACCTGTCGAGCGCATCGGCCCCCGCGTGAATGAGGGCCCTCCTCGGCAACGGCGCAACCTGTCAGGCGCAAATGGTCGGGAGGACCCTCGTTCACGCGGGGGCCGATGCGCTCGACAGGGGTATGCCACAATGGATTGACCGTACTGATGTCGCCGCTGAAAGCCGCGACCGTGGTGACGTGGCTCGTTCCGGGAGCCGCTCGACGATGTACTGCTACCACCTCCGTCAATACTATTGCCTGCGGACTCCCTTCGAATCGAAACGCAGCGGTTGCACATACACCCACGTCGCAGAAGAACTGAGCCAGACGGATCCGTATTGAGTCGTGGATGACGAACTTGCCGAATTTCCGAGATGTGGCCACGTGGCTGCAGCAGTTGATCATCAAGAGCCCGCTCCGTGATGAAGGTCATGGCGAGGATGGAGAGGAAGACGAAGGGCAGGAGGGAGAGAGCGGAGAGAGAGTTAGATCGTCGTCGTTCTCCTCTCCTTCGGAGGAGGAAGAAGGGGGAAGATCAGAGGGAGGGGAGGTCGGAGGTAGGAGGTATGTCGGACGATGGGGACAAAGCTATGGCTGGCACCGGCCTCGGGCGCGATGCGCACCGTGTTAGCGCCGTTGGGTCCGAGCTCGACAACGCGAAAACAGCCAGAGAAATTGGGAGTGAGTTTCTGGTCTCGTACACATTTGCGTACCTGCACTAGGTCCCCTAATTTATATTGATGCTGGGGCCCAACATTTCCATTTCGGGCCTCATAGCTACGGACCTGCCTACCGTGGGCCAGATCGGTCATCCTCTGTCTTTTTCGGGCTAGCTTCGGGACGGCCCGTTCCATTAAATCGGTATACCTTTTGGCCTTGGCCTTGAGGGCGGCACGCTTGTCTCTGCCCCTTGCTTCGGCAATTTCCGAGTTACCCCGGTAGTCGACACAGGGGAGGCTATTAGTGCGAAGCTGAAAGGGGGTAAACACCGTGGACTCATGAGGGGTGGCCCGGTGAATTCTGACGATCTAATAGACGATCTCGGGCCACGGACGCGTATCATGTGCCGCTAAATTCCTGCGAAGGGTGGTTTTAATCATACGGTTCGCATTTTCGGCCAACCCGTTCGACTGAGACACGTGGGGCGTCGTATGTCGGAGCGTGATGCCCCTTCGCGCGAGCAGTTCCTCTACTTCGCCTTTGAATTCGGACCCATTGTCGGTCAGAATTTCCTCCGTATCTAGATGGGTATAGAGGAACCGATCGATGTACGTGGCTATTTCTGCAGCCTTGCGGGTCTTGCAAGGGTAGACCTCGATGTACTTGGAAAAATGATCTATTAATACTAAAAGGATAAAATATTCGCAGCGGTTTGGGCCAGGTGGCACGTCAATATCTGTTGTGCTCATACTGACTCGCTGGAAAGGGCGTTCTACTTCCGTCGGTACTATCGTGTTTGGCCCCCGTATTGGGGCGCGATCAGCGACACAGACCAGACAGTTGGCGACAACGTATCTGACATCATCTCGTATATTGAACCAGAACCATCGGTTCTGGTCTATAGTTGCTTCCGTGACACGTATCGCGAAATGAGCGGCCTGTTCTTCGTGAGCAGATCGGGTCCAATCATATCTCTGAAATGGATGAGGAACTGTCAGCCACGAACCCAATCCGTCAGTTTTACGCTTCTCAAGATGACCGTTGATCCATCGATAGTCCCGAGATCTCTCGGTAGCCCTACGTCTGTCATGTTTGGTGAGGTGACCCAATGATAATCCCGCTAATTTAGCTAAAAAAAAAATATTCGTTCAAAGCTCTGCTCTACGGTATTTCTCATCATATTCAGGTCCGTCCGTTCGGGCGGCCTCGAATCGAACCTCTGTGGGAAGTTTGACCATTCTACACAGGGGGCACCTCCGCTCCTTACTATTCGTCCGATAGCGAACGCAGGCTCTGTACCCCCGATTGACACACGTGGCACATTCTACCCAATCGACAAACCCGGTTTCGAAAGGATGACAGTTAACCCCATAAACCCGTGCGATACACGTGCAAAAATAGCAGAATTTATCGGGGAGGGTGGCAAAGAAAGCGGAGGAGGTGAGAGGGGCAGAATTAGTAGGGGAAGATGGGGTCGCAGAGACGGGAGGGGTAGTCATGATGGCAGAGAGGGAGAGACGGGACTGAGTTTACAGAAGGGGGCAGAACAAAAAAAATAGACCCCATGGCACTTACTCCTTTGACAGGATCTCCCTTTGGCCGTACCGAGGTCCGTTCTCCTTTTTCGGTTCGTTCCACTGAATCACCTCCTCATTCTTCGGAACCTTCTCAGGTCGGTGTAGTCGTGTCAAGCCGTCCACATTCCCGTGCCTTTCGTGTTTCCGGTGACGGATGTCAAAGTCCATGCTCTGCAGCACCGTTGCCCATCGCCCGATCATGCCCGAGTAATCCTTAGATTTCTTCAGGGCTAGCAGAGGCTCATGATCGATCACCAATGTGAACTTTCGCCCGTACAAGTAAGCTCGAAAGTGACCGATTCCCCACAGAGCCTCGTAGCATTTTCCTGTTGGAACGGCGTAGTTACGCTTGCAGGCGGGCACTAATTTGGACGCATACTCTACCACGTTCTCAAGTCCGCTTGGTCCCACCTGGGCCAAGATCGCCGAAATTGCCTCTGGTTGCCAGTCAGTAATGAGGACAAAAGGCTTTTCGGGATCCGACCTTATAAGGACCGGGGCCGAAATAAGGGCGGCCTTGAGTTCCGAAAACGCTCGATCACACTCTGGTGTCCAGATCAACGACTTGTCCTTTCGCAGCAGATTCGTGAGAGGTCCCGCAATCGCCGCGAAGCCCTTGATAAACCTTCGATAGTACGAGGCTAGGCCCAGAAAGGCGCAAACCTGCGTAATAGTCGTAGGCACCAGCGCATCTCTGACAGTTGCCACCTTCTGCGGCTCCGGTCTAAGTCCCTGGTCTGTTACCACGTGTCCAAGGAAGGAAACGGTGGTAAGAAAAAACTGGCACTTCTCGAACGCGACCTTGAAACCAGCATCCCGTAATGCATGCAACGCCCATTCGATGTGTTGCACGTGCCCTTCGTAGGAACTCGAATACACCAAGATATCGTCCATGTACACAATCACGCAGTAGTTGACGATACTCTGTGCCAGACGAGTCTTCCGCACAAAGTTCTGAAAGGCCATGTTCATGGCTCGCTGGAAAGTTGCGGGGGCATTGCAGATGCCCATCGGGCATCGAATCCACTGCCACGTACCTTTCGAAGAGTACGAACGCGGTTTTCGGGCGATCTTCTTCCCGAAGAAGAAGATGATGGAACCCATGGCGAACATCAAACTTGCCAAAAAATCGAACACTCCCAATCGCATCCAGCAATTCATCAATCCGGGGGAGGGGGTACACATCTATGATCATGATATCATTCAACTTTCGATAATCAATGCAGATGCGAATCCCTCAGGCCTTTTTTGGCACAATCACTACGGGAAAGAACCATGGTCCTATAGCGGGTTCGATCCATCCATTAGCTTCAAATTCTTTGATCCGCTGAAAAGCGGCCGCTCTTTGAGCTGGTGAGTACCTATAAGGAACGCAGCTAATGGGTAGGTGATCCCTGGTGAGAATGGCATGTTCAATCACGTTAGTTAGGTCGATATCATTATCATGCACACTCAATACCTCCATGTAGCCATTCAAAACACTGATTAACGACTTTTGGAGTTCCGTGGGGACGTGGTTTGGGAGGGAGATTGTTGGTCGTCCAGGGATCTGAAGGGATATGTCGACCCAATCAGCCAGCCTTTCCCGTCGCTCATGGACACTGAAAAAAACGGAACTACTGGTGCGAACAGAGAAGACAGTTGCAATCATCTGTGATTCAGCAGGGCTGATCATTTCGGTTTCCTTGGCTTCGGCATCGTTCTCTGAACCGGTCGATGTTTTTTCCACAGTTAGTCTTGTTAGGTCCGCCATCTCCTGCATCAGATCGGGTACGTCACCTACCGGTGCTTCGGCCTCTTGTTTAATCAAAGCAATGGTCGCTCCCACTATTAGCAAAAATCTTGGTGGGAAAACAAAAACATCTACATATTGTTCTGTCTGTTGGTAGCGTGCTCGTAAGGAAAGCGCTCCCTCGTACAAAGTGCGAGGGGGTTCCAAATCATCTGCCAGGTCAGATACTTGCAGAATGGGTTCCCCGAGGAGGATTGAAGGACTGATCCGGGTTTCCAGAGGCGCGAGCGTGCCGCCTTCCGAATCCACGTGGAAGCTTCGGGTGGTCCTGGGGCACACTCGAAACTCTTCGGGGATCTCGTGCTCGAAAAGTTCGACCAGGTGCTTTCATTCGTCCTCACTAGGTATGTCTTCTTCGTACACCTGTTCCCCGATTCCGCTACTGATGTCCGAGGAAGAAGGTTCCTCAGGATCGAGGCCTTGAATCATCCCTATTTGGGCAGAGTTAGGAGTTCGTTTTACCGTCCGGGTGGAAATCCGCAAGGGGACAGTCTGAGGCTTTCCCCCAGTTTGCGTGAGCACGAGTTGTTTGGAGTCGAATTGCAGACGAGCACCTACCGCCATCGCCCAAGGTAATCCTAATAAGACAGAATAGGAGCGCACATCTATCACTAGTGCGTTAACAAGGACGTGTACTTGTCCGACCTTCACAACCACATTCTCAATAATACCTACGATGTTCATTGCTTCCTCGTCGGCAGAGACATAATTGGCTTTGCCAGATTGAGGAAGAATGAATCTGAGTCGTCCTGTCTTTCTTACTGTGTCCAAGGATATGGCCATTGCGGAAGACCCAGTATAGATAAGGGCGTTAAATGGTTTGCCCCAAACTTCACAATCGCACTCAGCGCTTTTCCACAGCACTGGTCGAGCTCGTACGAAGTGATCCTTCTCTACTAACTAAATCGCGGCTACTCGTGCTGCTTCGGGTTCTCCTGTTTCAGGTTCAGGTGGTGCAACCTCCTCGTCTCCGTCCTTCTTCTTCAACATTCGCTGTACTCGCTGGTACGTGAAGCGCTTTTGATTTTTTTGGCAATGTTGCAGGAGTTTATCGTTTGCAGCTTCAAAGATGGTGAGCAAATGCCCCACCGGGATCAGAACACGGATATCCAGCTGCTTAAGCGCTCGTAATACATCAATTTCTCCCGTCCGAAACTGTGGTCCGGGATTGGATTCACGATCGACCCATTCAAGATCATCATGGGCCGATCGGATCGCTCCGACCATGCCGGCGAGATGAAGGTACTCGAGTGGATCGACCACGTCAACAGCGTCGGAGGAGGAATAAGCTCCCGAGGTTGAAGCAACGGCCGTTGAAGGGGAGGGTTGCTCATATGCAACAAGTTCCCCTCCTTGGGCCGTGCCCATCAACGCGGCCACTCGTCCTTGGTTCAGAGCTACGGGGGCCGCGGCTGGTGGAGGTTGATTGCGTTTCGGCTGCGGACAGTCCCGGACAAAATGTCCGGGCTGTTTGCAGTTAAAGCACTCGACTTTTCCTGCTGGATTAGTGGGGTAAGGGAACTGTGGGGCGTATCCTAGTGTAGGCGGGGAAGGCAGGAGGGGAAATGACGTAGGGGCAAGTCGAGGATGGGCCGGGTTGGGCTTAATTAGCCTGCTCATTATCTGTTCCATCCACTCCATGTGAGCTGCCTGCATTTGAACCAGGTTGCTCATCCATTCGGATTGCTTGGTGGTGGCCGTATGGATCATTTGTGCCAGGTGTAAGTTCGTTACGGCCTGAGAGGGAGAATCGTTGGGGATTTTGCTTTTAACTGCCGATACCTGTGGATTCGTAGGAGGCCAAGACGACGAAGCTAACGGGATATCAGAGGCCGTCCCGTCGAGGAGGTCATGGGGATAGAACCGTTCTACCGCCCGTAACCATGATCGTCTTTTAACTGCTACATCCTGTATCGTATCTGTGATGTCTTCGTCTCCCTGAATGATATATTTCTTTGTATCGGCCAGGTCTAACTCGAGGGCTTTAGCGATGATAGCCGACAGCTGGTGAGTTTTCGGGGGAACCTTTTTCTGTAGCTTCCCTTTCATCGTCGGACTTCGTAGATGATCGATGAACAAATCTCGAGCGGATTTCTCATCTCGCCCGGATTTATCCAACGTGGTTTGAAATCGATCCACGAAATCAGGCAGCGATTCCCCTGGTCCTTGCGGACGGTTTTTTAGTACGTACCAGGCGGCATCTTCACTGACCGTATCGAACCGGGCCAAAAATGCTTGTTTGAAAGTATTCCAATCTCCCCACGTATGCTTTCTGAACCAGTCATGCGCCGTATTACGAAGTAGCAAAGTAAGAACGTGGGGAAGATCACCCGCGCTGTATCCTTGAGCTTCGACAGCTTCCGCCCAAGCGTCGGGGTGGGTATGGTTAGGAAAGAAGGGGAAGGGGGCAGGAATGCTAACCACTACCCTATTACTGTCTACCAGTGGTATAGCTGGTATAGCCGCACCAGATATAGATCTGGTCACTGGACAATCTCGACGAGCGGGTGGGGGACTTCTTCTACCTCTCGCCAACTCGACTTACTATCATCAGAACTGACACGTGTCGGCTCCGATACCAACCTCACGCCCTGTACTGTCTTCCGTTCGGAGTGCTAGAGGTGCGGAAAAAGAGGCCTAGAAAAATAGTAAGATGGGGTGTGCCAAGGATTTTTGGAAATTGAGTGTGGGGACACAGATGGAACTGAAATCCCTCGTGTTGGTGCGATGGAGTAAGTCGACCGTTTTTCGTACGTCGCAACATGCGAGCGAGAGTTCGGCGCGAAAGGAGGGAGAAATACAAATTCAATCCAAAAAGTATTGCCTTACTTCCCACCGTGCTACGACTCTTCGTTTAGAGCGAAAAGGCTTCGGCACGCTTCGCGTGTCTCATCTTCGTATTAAGTTCCGACGTCGTTCACCAGCCAGTTCTGAGTCCGACGTGGAGGGTCGCAGTCGTGTGGCTCTTTCTCTGTGCCTGTTTTCACTCCGTTCGCGGTAGTGAAAACCCTTGGATTCGTAGCACTCAAAGCGCTGGCACTCGATGCATAGAGTGCGAGGCCAGTGGGGTTCCACTGCCGTCCACGAGATGACGATCAACTCCTTAAATGCCAACAATACCGAGTAACGTGGAAAGTGTGTATCGATAATGACAAACCCAACCTCTACGAACCCTGAACAACGATTTTCCGATGGGAGGTGATATCATCCGCCGATCCGTGCGACAGCTTCTCGTACGTCTCACTCGCGCACACGTGTCTTTTCCTCGTCTTAAGGAAAAGGTCGCGTTGAGACAGGAGATACGGGAGGTTGACGCCCGATCGAAGGGCGCTTGTCAATCCACATGTCAATCAGTGCAAAAATCCCAAGACGTCATCAAGGGAAAACACTCGCACAACCACTAATCAACTCTTTTCGACACGAGAGAGAGAAAACACTCGTCAGCTTGATCATGCATGTAACTGAGGGACCGACCCGCGACTCAGGTTTAGTAAGCCACTGCGACGTTGATCCCAAGGGCCTTGTTTCTCGAGGCTGCCCTGTAGATCGGTTGTAGATGTCGCGCAGCATAAAGCAGATGGCATGCGCAGTGCATTCAGAACGACAGATCTAAACACTCTTGCATTCTCGGACAAAATCCCGCCGAGTGCGGCGTCTAATCAATACAAAAAGGCAAACATCCCCATACATACATTCACTGTGGAAGGTGCAAAAATGACTGGGATACACAGGTCAGAAATCAACCGAGGGAATTGTACACACGCATCCATCGTTCACAAGACAAGAGGATCAATTCCTCGACATCCAGGGATTACCAGGGAAACTAATGGAAGAGTTCCGAAATAAGTTCCTTCTCACAGGAGAGCACACAAATTCATTATCATTCATGAGAGGGACAAGCATCAAGACACATCGTCATTCAAAGATAGAGGGGAGAGAGAGAGGAGAGAGGAAGGTCGATATAGAAGATGACGAGATCCGAAAAGAGGAAATTCGGCATTGCCGCCATATACTCACGCCAGAGATAAAGATCCGCAACAACAAAGGCGCATTCACCGTGAATTCCAATATGGCCCCGGGCCAATCACCCACTCAACTCCAATCAT